AGCGACGTCCTCGCTTGGCAGGCACGCTACGCCGATGCAGTCGTTCATGGGTGCTGCCTCGACCAACTCCACCAAGGCGACATCGTAAGAATATGCCGAGGAGTCATACCAGGGATGCGAATGGTCTTGCTGCACCTGCAGATCCACCTGGGCCGAGTCTGCTGTGGACTTGCTGTGGAGGCCCGCCACGACCTTGAACGCATTGCCCATGCAGTGGGCGGCTGTCATCACCCATTTCTCGGCGATGAGCGCGCCGCCGCAGAAGTGAAAGCCCGAGAGCGTCTGCAGGGAGACCTGCCACTTCCACTCGCACCGCGTGGCGTCCTGGCCCCCCACGATGCGCTCTCCGCGCGTTTCCCAGGGGGTGTCGTCGGGACCCTTGGCTCCACACACGGGCGCTGGCGTCGGCGGCGGTGCGGGCGTTGGAGGTGGCGCTGGAGCCGTAGGTGGAGCAGGAGCTGGCGGCGCTGGCGTGGCCGCTACACCCTGGCACAGCCTCCAGCCACTGCTGACAACAATGGAGTCGGAGGACCAGAAGATGTCCGCCGTCGGGGTGATCCCGCTCGGGCCGACAGAGCCAGAGTAAGGTAACCCATTGACCGTGAGCACATCGAAATACAACTCCGTGCTGAAGCTCTCCAACACGATCGGTGCTGCCATCCCCAAGTCGATCTCCAAGGCGCACGCCTCATCATTGCTGTAGTCCTCGGGGTAGTTGGGACTCTGCGCGCACGTGCCGTCCAGCGTGCACGGCCCTGAGATGGCCGCCCACATGTGCTGAGGAGCTGGCGTCGGCGGCGGGGCAGGCGTCGGAGGGGGCACAGGAGTTGGTGAAGGTGCGGACGTCGGTGGCTGCGTCATGCCCATCACTTCGTCGATCCAGTCACGTACGTAGCGAACCCGAGACCACACGCCAGGGTACTGCTCCATGGCGCACCCGGAGCCCCACGACGTGGCCCCGTGAAGGACGTAAGCATCACCGCCAGAAGCGCACACCAGCGGGCCCTCCGATGTCCCCTTGGCAGGGCGTCGTGACTTTGCCCCGGCGCTGTTGACGCCCCTGCGCACACCCATGTCATCGGTGATGATCCACTGCCGTAGGCAGCGCCGAGCAGGCCGAGTTGCTCACGACTTTCCCTGCGCCTCCTGAAGGCAGGTCTGGAGGACCTCCATATAGAGGGTCCGCCCCAGCCAGTGATGAGCACTCCTCACCGTCATCGACCGTCCTCGCTTTGCGCACGCTACGCCGATGCAGTCGTTCCATGTTTTGCTGCTCGACCACTCCACAAGGCGACATCGTAAGAAGATGCCGAGAGTCCTACCTGCATGGCGATGGTCTTGCTGCACCATACAGCGTCCACCTGGGCGAGTCTGCTGTGGACTTGCTGTGGAGGCCCGCCACGACCTTGAACGCTTGCCCATGCAGTGGGCGGCTGTCATCACCCATTTCTCCGCGATGAGCGCGCCGCCGCCCCCCCAGAAAAAAAAGGGTTGGGGGGGGGGGGGGGGGAAAAAAAAGTCCCTGAAGCGTCTGCAGGGAGACCTGCCACTTCCACTCGCACCGCGTGGCGTCCTGGCCCCCCACGATGCGCTCTCCGCGCGTTTCCCAGGGGGTGTCGTCGGGACCCTTGGCTCCACACACGGGCGCTGGCGTCGGCGGCGGGGCGGGCGTTGGAGGTGGCGCTGGAGCCGTAGGGGGCGCAGGAGCTGGTGGCGCTGGCGTGGCCGCGACACCCTGGCACAGCCTCCAGCCACTGCTGACCGCAGTGGAGTCGGAGGACCAGAAGATGTCCGCCGTCGGGGTGATCCCGCTCGGGCCGACAGAGCCAGAGTAAGGTAACCCGTTGACCGTGAGCACATCGAAATACAACTCTGTGCTGAAGCTCTCCAACACGATCGGTGCTGCCATCCCCAAGTCGATCTCCAAGGCGCACGCCTCATCATTGCTGTAGTCCTCGGGGTAGTTGGGACTCTGCGCGCACGTGCCGTCCAGCGTGCACGGCCCTGAGATGGCCGCCCACATGTGCTGAGGAGCTGGCGTCGGCGGCGGGGCAGGCGTCGGAGGGGGCACTGGAGTTGGTGAAGGTGCGGACGTCGGTGGCTGCGTCATGCCCGTCACTTCGTCGATCCAGTCACGTACGTAGCGAACCCGAGACCACACGCCAGGGTACTGCTCCATGGCGCACCCGGAGCCCCACGACGTGGCCCCGTGAAGGACGTAAGCAGCACCGCCGGAAGCGCAGACGAGCGGCCCTCCGCTGTCCCCTTGGCAGGCGTCGGTGACTTGCCCGGCGCTGTTGACGCCCTGCGCACACACCATGTCATCGGTGATGATCCCACTGCCGTAGGCAGCGCCGCAGTCCGAGTTGCTCACGACTTTCACCTGCGCTTCCTGAAGCAGGTCAGGGGAGGACCCTCCAGAAGAGAGGGTCCCCCAGCCAGTGATGAAGCACTCCTCACCGTCAGCGACGTCCTCGCTTGGCAGGCACGCGACGCCGCTGCAGTCGTTTCATGGGTGCTGCCTCGACTTCAACTCCACCAAGGCGAACATCTAAGAAGATGCCGAGGAGTCCATACCAGGGATCGATGGTCTTGAGGCTGAGAGCACCTGCATCCACCTGTGCCATCTGCTGTGGACTTGCTTTGGAGGCCCGCCACGCCTTGAAACGCATTGCCAATCCTGCAGTGGGCGGCTGTCATCACCCATTTCTCGGCGATGACGCGCCGACCGCAGAAGTGAAAGCCCGAGAGCGTCTGCAGGGAGACCTGCCACTTCCACTCGCACCGCGTGGCGTCCTGGCCCCCCACGATGCGCTCTCCGCGCGTTTCCCAGGGGGTGTCGTCGGGACCCTTGGCTCCACACACGGGCGCTGGCGTCGGCGGCGGTGCGGGCGTTGGAGGTGGCGCTGGAGCCGTAGGTGGAGCAGGAGCTGGCGGCGCTGGCGTGGCCGCTACACCCTGGCACAGCCTCCAGCCACTGCTGACAACAATGGAGTCGGAGGACCAGAAGATGTCCGCCGTCGGGGTGATCCCGCTCGGGCCGACAGAGCCAGAGTAAGGTAACCCATTGACCGTGAGCACATCGAAATACAACTCCGTGCTGAAGCTCTCCAACACGATCGGTGCTGCCATCCCCAAGTCGATCTCCAAGGCGCACGCCTCATCATTGCTGTAGTCCTCGGGGTAGTTGGGACTCTGCGCGCACGTGCCGTCCAGCGTGCACGGCCCTGAGATGGCCGCCCACATGTGCTGAGGAGCTGGCGTCGGCGGCGGGGCAGGCGTCGGAGGGGGCACTGGAGTTGGTGAAGGTGCGGACGTCGGTGGCTGCGTCATGCCCATCACTTCGTCGATCCAGTCACGTACGTAGCGAACCCGAGACCACACGCCAGGGTACTGCTCCATGGCGCACCCGGAGCCCCACGACGTGGCCCCGTGAAGGACGTAAGCAGCACCGCCGGAAGCGCAGACGAGCGGCCCTCCGCTGTCCCCTTGGCAGGCGTCGGTGACTTGCCCGGCGCTGTTGACGCCCTGCGCACACACCATGTCATCGGTGATGATCCCACTGCCGTAGGCAGCGCCGCAGTCCGAGTTGCTCACGACTTTCACCTGCGCCTCCTGAAGCAGGTCAGGGGAGGACCCTCCAGAAGAGAGGGTCCCCCAGCCAGTGATGAAGCACTCCTCACCGTCAGCGACGTCCTCGCTTGGCAGGCACGCTACGCCGATGCAGTCGTTCATGGGTGCTGCCTCGACCAACTCCACCAAGGCGACATCGTAAGAAGATGCCGAGGAGTCATACCAGGGATGCGAATGGTCTTGCTGCACCTGCAGATCCACCTGGGCCGAGTCTGCTGTGGACTTGCTGTGGAGGCCCGCCACGACCTTGAACGCATTGCCCATGCAGTGGGCGGCTGTCATCACCCATTTCTCGGCGATGAGCGCGCCGCCGCAGAAGTGAAAGCCCGAGAGCGTCTGCAGGGAGACCTGCCACTTCCACTCGCACCGCGTGGCGTCCTGGCCCCCCACGATGCGCTCTCCGCGCGTTTCCCAGGGGGTGTCGTCGGGACCCTTGGCTCCACACACGGGCGCTGGCGTCGGCGGCGGTGCGGGCGTTGGAGGTGGCGCTGGAGCCGTAGGTGGAGCAGGAGCTGGCGGCGCTGGCGTGGCCGCTACACCCTGGCACAGCCTCCAGCCACTGCTGACAACAATGGAGTCGGAGGACCAGAAGATGTCCGCCGTCGGGGTGATCCCGCTCGGGCCGACAGAGCCAGAGTAAGGTAACCCATTGACCGTGAGCACATCGAAATACAACTCCGTGCTGAAGCTCTCCAACACGATCGGTGCTGCCATCCCCAAGTCGATCTCCAAGGCGCACGCCTCATCATTGCTGTAGTCCTCGGGGTAGTTGGGACTCTGCGCGCACGTGCCGTCCAGCGTGCACGGCCCTGAGATGGCCGCCCACATGTGCTGAGGAGCTGGCGTCGGCGGCGGGGCAGGCGTCGGAGGGGGCACTGGAGTTGGTGAAGGTGCGGACGTCGGTGGCTGCGTCATGCCCATCACTTCGTCGATCCAGTCACGTACGTAGCGAACCCGAGACCACACGCCAGGGTACTGCTCCATGGCGCACCCGGAGCCCCACGACGTGGCCCCGTGAAGGACGTAAGCAGCACCGCCGGAAGCGCAGACGAGCGGCCCTCCGCTGTCCCCTTGGCAGGCGTCGGTGACTTGCCCGGCGCTGTTGACGCCCTGCGCACACACCATGTCATCGGTGATGATCCCACTGCCGTAGGCAGCGCCGCAGTCCGAGTTGCTCACGACTTTCACCTGCGCCTCCTGAAGCAGGTCAGGGGAGGACCCTCCAGAAGAGAGGGTCCCCCAGCCAGTGATGAAGCACTCCTCACCGTCAGCGACGTCCTCGCTTGGCAGGCACGCTACGATGAAAGTCCCGACGCCCTGCTGCACCTGCAGATCCAAGTCTGCACACCCGCCACGACCTTGAACGCATTGCCCCTCGACCAACTCCACCAAGGCGACATCGTAAGAAGATGCCGAGGAGTCATACCAGGGATGCGAATGGTCCTGCTGCACCTGCAGATCCACCTGGGCCGAGTCTGCTGTGGACTTGCTGTGGAGGCCCGCCACGACCTTGAACGCATTGCCCATGCAGTGGGCGGCTGTCATCACCCATTTCTCGGCGATGAGCGCGCCGCCGCAGAAGTGAAAGCCCGAGAGCGTCTGCAGGGAGACCTGCCACTTCCACTCGCACCGCGTGGCGTCCTGGCCCCCCACGATGCGCTCTCCGCGCGTTTCCCAGGGGGTGTCGTCGGGACCCTTGGCTCCACACGCAGGCGCTGGCGTCGGCGGCGGGGCGGGCGTTGGAGGTGGCGCTGGTTCTGGCAGAGGCGTCGGCGTAGGTGGCGCATGTGCCAACATATCCACGCACAGCCGCCAGCCGCTATTCTGGACAAACCAATCCGACACCCAAAGAATGCTTGCAGTCGGGGTGATGCTGCTGGGGCCACTGGTTCCAGAATAAGCCACGCCATTGACCGTGAGCGTGTCGAAGTACGACTCCGTGTTGAAGCTCTCCACCACGATGGGCGCCGCCAACTCCGAATAGATCTCCAGGGTGCACGCCTGGTCCGGGTCGTAATTCTGTGGGTAGTTGGGGCTTTCCACGCAAGCGCCGTCCAGCGTGCACTCGCCGATGATAACCCCCCACATGAGCTCTGGAGCTAGCGTTGGAGGTGGCGCTGGCGGAGGTGGCGGTGCTGGCGTCGGCACGAACCACCCCACGATCGCGCCGACGGCCTCCAACATCTCCTCGCCTGTAGGAAGAATCTCCGAAGTGGGCGGGGAGAATCCTCCACCAGACCACGAGTCAGGCGGTAGCTCGACGGTGTACCCGTATGCTCCTAGCTCGGTGGAGTAGTCTGGCATGACGCCGGATGCAAGGTAGAGTGCGCCGTCGCCGTCGCCCGTGCCGTAGATGTAGCTCCTGCCGTTGACACCCGCAATGCGGCTCTGCATTTCCAGTCCGATAGCGTCGATCGTTGCTTTATCTGGGTGATCGACGTTCGTGTAGCTCCACGGTCCCAGGATCATCTGAGAATATGAATGAATATCCAAGTGGAGGTGCAGGGGGGCTTCTTCAAGCAACGCCTTCAGCGCCTGTGTCTCGGGCTCCGAGTGAGGCGATGGGCCAACGTAAGTATCCGAGCCTGGCCAGGTGCTTGTTGACTGGCCACCGTTCCAATCTTTGCCCCAATTACGGTTAAGATCAACACCCCGGTATGAAGAACCGACGAGCGTATTCCTGTTCTTCCGCCACATGGCGTCCACGGTCTGTGAATAGACGAACCCATCGGGATTCGAAACAGGCACTACGACGAGCTCCATGCCAGCCAGCCAGCTTGGGTCAGTGGCCTTCATAGCGACGCAATGCTCCACCAAATACGTGCCCACCATCGCGGCGAGCCACTCCCGGGCGTGCAGCAGACAATTCACAACGATCCTGGGAGATCCTGGCATCCACGCAGCATCGCGGATGCGGACCGCGTGGATGTAGCGGCCCTCGGGGGTCGCCGGGGTGAGCAACTCCAGCGTCGCAACGCCGCTTGCGTCGGCAACGATTGTCTCCAACCGTTCCAGGATGCCTTCATAATCGCGCCACTGAGTGTAGAACTCATCGCTCCTCGATCGAGGATCCCAGCGCTGAGGGAATCCGGCGAGTCGCATGAGTTTCCCTGCATCGTGGCTCAACACCCGTGCTGCCCCGTGCGTGAAGTTCTGGACTGCAGAGCAGACGACGACGCTTTCGGAGCAAGTCCCTTTCAGCCTCGCCTCGTCAACGAAGGCGCACGCTGCTGCCTCCAGCTCTTCGCGCAGCAGCTCCCTCTCTCCTCGCCCACAGGCCTCGACCGACAGCACGGGGCTCCTGTCATACCTGGCATACGGATCAGCGGAAGGCTCCTGGGCAGGCGGTGCCGCGCCCCGCAGCTGGCCAGCGGCTGCGGCACTGGCGGTCCCCTGGCAGAATATCCGTATTACCAGCAGGAGCCGCGCAACAACGAAGGAAGCGCACATGGATGCTGCCATCCGGCGGCGCTCGAGCCACAACAAAGTTGCGCAAGGAGAGGAGGCAGTGAAACAGATGAGCAAAAAAACGAGGAGCAAAACGAGAGGGAGAGCAGGAGGCGGCGGAGACGGATGAGAGAGAAGTGGCATCGCTTCGTCGCTTCGCAAAGGGCAAACGCACGGCAGTGGATGCACTTGCACATGAGCTTGATCACCATGTAGATGACCGAAGTCACGCTCTATAGGCTCATGACTGATGAATCACAGCATGACAGAAGTTACAGTGAGACCTGCATGGCGCACGCCCATCCAAGGATTCGTGATTGAGGACTTGGGCTTGCATGTGTAATTGCAAACAAGTTCGCGGGTATCATTCGGCGCGAAAGACCGCACAACACAATGGTTGGAGGAGCTCCGCGTTTCTGGTCGCTGCGCGCGCGGTGCAATCTGCACTCGCAGAGCGTCGCGGGCACACTGGTCCCAACCCGACCCAGAAAAGGGCGACTACCCAAGCACCACCTGACACTGCTGATGGGGGGCGCATGCTGTTCCGCCTGCTCGCAAGCGCAGTGGCAGTCTGTCGCGCAGGCAATCGGGCCGAAAACAGCGCCTCTTTGAGACTTGACCGAGTCATTGAAACATACACACCCAAACCTGTGTGCTTTGGATGCTTGGAAGTGAGCGCCAACACCAGTGCAGGGGTTCGCCTCCACCAGTGGGAGATGATTCCATATTCTGGTGCTAGTGGTAACCCTCTTGCCATTTAGGATACCCGAGGATGCCTGAATCTTACCACCGTCACCGAAATCGGGACCATCTTCCCCCGGTGGAGACACACCGCCGATGTTGGTGTTGGTGTCAACCGCCAGACCTCCGATGTTTTCTGGTGTGATAATATCCACAGCGCTTCAAAAGCCGACAATCTCCCCCTCATCGGAGCGAGCGTGCCCTGACCCCCCTCCCTTGATCTTGCGTTTCGGCGCCCTTGACGGTGCCCAGACAACCCCAAGAAAGTTTCATATCATCCTACACCAGCTATAAAAACGCACCAGCACTGTCAATGTGTGGCCCTATTGATGCCCCAAAATGCTACAAGAAACCGCAAGATGTCGCAAGAAGCCTCCAGGAAATGCCATTGAGGCTGCCAACGAGTCCTTTAGATGCGAAGCGTGTAGAGCAACACATGTGAATCAATGATGTTGCCTGCGAGGCTGGTCGGCTTCAGATCACCTCGGGCCTCGGGAGGCTGTTCGGCTTCCAGTTGGCTCCAAGGCGCAAAACGGCTCCGATAATGGCACGACGAGCTCGCGCAGGCTCCACGGTCCCCCCCAAGATGCCTCCAGGAGACGACGGAAGAGGCCTCCAGCGAGGCCCCCAGAAGCGAAACACGTTGAACGACCAGATGGGGAATCAACGCTGCTGCTTCCGAGGACTTTCGGTTTCAGATCGTGTCGGGAAGAGTTCAGAGAGCGCCCAGAAGCACCCACAACGGCCCAGTACTGGCCCAAGAGACCCAAACTCAGCACGATGACACCCCCCAAAAGAGCTCCAAAAGGCTACAAGACGGCCTCACTACTTGCCCAGAATGCCCCAAGATGGTTTAATCTAACCTCTCTTGGGTAACTCGGTGAAACTACCGCGCCCAAGATGGACCCGAGACCCCCGACGGGCCCTGGATTGGCGTAACGGGCACCCAAGAAGCCCTCCGAGAGCAAGAGGCCCAAGGGAGCCCGGAGCCCCCCAAGAGGCATCCAAGATGCTTCCAGGAGGGGGGGCGAAAACGAGGGAGGGAAAAAGAGGAGACAGAGGCGGAGGACAAGGAGTGAGGTGCTCGAGACCCGCGCAAGGTGACACAATGCACTGAGCTGGAACGGGTCTTCAACTCCACCTCCTTCCTGCTGCGCTCCTGCGCTGGTATTGTGGCTGGATTTTTCCGCAGGCGACTGAATGCATGGGGTATTCCACTCGGGAAGCTCGGGATCATGGAATGGGGCACGCACGTCATCACTCACCGCTTGTTGCACAGATGTTTTGCACATGCAGTGACGCTTTCATTGGCGCTGGCACGCTGCGCTGCGCATCCAGATTGCACTGTAGAAGGTCGATTCGATTGTTCGTAAGCTGTAGATGCAACGCTCTGGTGGTGGGCGAAAGCAACGGGCACTGAATATGGCTCCCTGTGATCTCTATCCTATACTCTTTACTCTCCGCTCTACTCTGTAGGATTCCCTTTGTGATCCTACTTTGCGCCCTCTCCTTTACATTTGATCCACAATTGCTCAATATGAATACTGCCCTTCTCTCCCCCCGAAGACCCCTATGACAAAGCACGCCCCCTTCGCGTATTGTTTGTACACCTAAGATGCCTGCGACTTGGATGTTCGTATGCGCTTTTCCAATCCGAACGTTTTCGGTTCTTCCCAAATGTTGCTCCCGCTGCCACGCTGGCCTCCTTGTGGGGCTTCCGCTCGATTCGAATCGTGCTCCCGCTGCAACGCAAGCCTCATTTCCGCGCTTCCGCTCGATCCGAATCGTGCTCCCGCTGCAACGCTGACCTCATTTCCGCGCTTCCGCTCGTTCCGAATCGAGCTCCCGCTGCCGCGAATGCCTCATTTCTGCGCTTCTGCTCGTTCCGAATCGTGGTCCCGCTGCAGCGCAGGTCTCATTTCCAGTGCCATGCCATGGTATGCAATGCAATGCGATGCTATGTTGTGTTCTCCTGTGCGATGTCATGCCTTCTGCTTCAATGCTATTGTATTCGGTGCTTGACCTCGCAGTACCACGCCATGCTCTGTCATGCTACGCGTTGATCTTCAACGGCATGCTATGTCATGTAATGGTATGACATGACATGCTATGCCATGCGACGACGTCCGATTGTGCCAATCGAGAGGAGATCTACGCCATGGCATGGGATTGGAGGGAG